TTTGCACCCTTGATTCAGCACAAATGAAAGCATGGACAACGCACATTTTTAAACCTTAGTGGAGATTTCCGACTAACATTTGCAAACGTGCAACTCGTGGTTGCGGCGCTCTCAAATGAAGCAAGACAGCAATATATAGATAATAAATCCCTGACGAAACAGCATAAAGACAATTCCAATTCAAGTCAGCGGCAGTAGGCCTCGACAGTAACTTATTTGGGAAGACGGCGCTGTTGTTTTTTTTTTTTTTTTGGGGGGGGGGGGGGCAGTGAGTGTAACTGTAAACTGTCTATTGACCTCATGCATGATGCACCAGAAAATGCAGCTGTGTAAAGGAGCATCACGAAACCCGCCACGTAAAGACATTGGCAGCCTTTGCTTGGTCACAGCCCAAACACACAAAACTCTCCACTGAATCCTGGGCTTGTTTAGCTGCTGGCACCCAAAGGCGTCAGTTCCATGTATGCCAGCTGCGCTAAAGTGCGCCCGTAGGTACATAATGGAGCAGCACAACCTGCACCCATGCCCTCAACCTGTCAACCTTGGCACTTTCTGAGCTGGATGGAAAAAATGCCCCATTCCAAATAGCAAGTCAAGAGCCAGACAACATATTCATACATCTTAATTAGTAATAATGATGCCCCACTTGGTGCCAACTGTCTGATGCCAGTGGCTGGGTTGACTACACTCACTGCTATTTCCAGAAAAATAGTTTGAATAAAATAGGCAAACGGATATTGTGGTCAGGTAAAATACAGCATAGCTTCTAAACGGAATCTGTTCATGACACACTTAATCCCAATTTGTTTGGATTTTGCGCTAACAGAAAATAAGCTAAATAGCAGTCATTTCTTCCGGGCGACTCACTTTAGCCATCATAAAAGCTTTTTAAACTGCACATTTTTTTAAGTAACATTTAAACCGTCATGATAGTATTAAAAAAACGAGTTCATTTTGTTGTTGTTGTTAAAAAATCATAAAAATGCTTGGAAGATGGCTCACGTTTTTTTTTTAATCTTTGCTGTCACTCGTAGCCCTGTGTGGTGCCATTTGAACTCCCTTTTGGAACACCTAAAGCAAATGTAAAAAAACAAAACACTGGAGACATTGGTTAAATCACAAAAGAGTCCAGCAGATGAGCGGCTTGACTTGAAAGGTTCCACGGGACTGGATTTCGATATAAGCACAAATAGTCATGATGACTTGAGAATGTTATGAGAGCTGAATTTACTGAGATTCATATTAAACCTGTAGAACATGCAGACGACTAAAGTGATAGTTCTTGTTGCTCTTGTAACATTCGCCAGACATTGCTCAAGAGTGCCCCTAACCCCAAGTCAGTAATTCTGCATCAGAGAAGAAGAGTGAGTGGCTCTTAGCAAGAAGCCAGGACCAAATTAGGTCAGGAAAGTGGTGTCATTCAGGTAAAATTAGGAAGCAGATTTTAAAAACACACCTATCTGCCCAGTTTGCTTTGAAACGCTATCAGCCATAAAATATTTCATCCTAAATCACCACTACACACAGATCTCAAAAGGACACAAACAACAGTGATTTATTTCTTTTTGTTTCACAAGAACCGTTGACGGTTCGTTTGAAATGTATGAGGAGTTCATCATTGTACATATTGGGTTTTTAAAATGCTTCATAGGACAATGGGCTGTTGTGACATGGTATGGGTGAGAAGTGAAGGAAAAAAGCAAGCCTTTCTGCCAAAATAAAAGGAACAAATCTATCTTGCAAATAAACAGGAAGTAGACGCAATGTGTTTGCCTCATTAAATTATGTGACGGTTTGGGTCTGCCTCACCCCCAGGTCTTGATTTGACACCTATGTCATAGATCATTCATTCAAAAAGGCTTGCCACAACATGGTGGAGGTCTGTGTGATTCAACGCCATGTATGTTTATATGCAAACATGTTTAGATCTGTCCAGAGCCATTTGAGCTCCTCGCAACGAAACACACTATGGAAAACAAGTTACATTGATTTTTTTTTTTTTTTTTCCTGACCGTGAAATAGGCTACAGTCGGCTTCATGACGTCTGGATTTATGGCCTGGTAATTCCCCCTCTGGAGTAATTTGGCTGGTACATCTGCAGCTTAGTTGCATTCCAGCAGGGCTCCTCTGTGCTGTGAAGTCAGGAGATGACTGATTGATTGATTGTATTACCCTAGTTTTAGCATGGCTTTAGCAAGCTACCGCGGTAAAGTTTTAATGGGATCTATCCACTGCAAAGACAACGGCTTCACGTAAGCAGCGAGCAGCCTGTTTGATGACGTTAGCCTACTGATGACAACCAATCAAAGTTCAAACTTGGCTGAATGTTTTGTTTTTTTTTTCCCCACATATAGTTTTATAGTGGCTAACACAGATAAAAGTAGGTTCCTGTAATCATCTTGTTCACTGCTTCCCCCTCATGTTGAGCCCTGTATCGTCAATTTGGAACTTTACAAAATGATGACAGAGATGTCTTTTTTCAGTTATTTGGAAGCTTTCAGGTTAGAAAACGAATATGTGCACGCCACTAAGACACTGATAATGAGGTAAGCCTCGAACTTTGGTTTAGCTCAGACTGAAACAGACAAAATTGTCAGTTTAAAACAAAATACTTTAGATTTACAAAATATAGAATTTAAAAAGAAAAAAAAAACCCAAATAACTTTGATTAAAAAAACAGACTCAAAATGTTTTTTAGGTACAAAGACAGCTGGTATCGGCTCCAGCACGCTTGTGACCCTTCTGAGGATGAAGTGGCTCAGATAATGGATGCATGGATATTTAGAGAGAGAGAGAGAGAGAGAGAGAGAGAGAGAGATGTGTTTGAAATCATTCACTTATTGCCTACATAATCACTAGAGTATGTAGGATTTTTTTTTTGCAACATACCAGAGCTAGTTGAGTTGGTGGGCCTTACTCATAAATATTGAATAAATGATTAATAATAGTAACCATATATGATTTTATTTATTTTATGGAATGAATATACTGTATACAAAGCACTTGATGAACATTAGTATGATAGCCATTGTCCGCCTTTCTTTTCTTAGTCCATCCAAAATCTGCTCAAATTGTTTTGCTATTCTTGATTACATAAAATCTATGTGAAGACACTGATCATATTAATGATTTGTTACGATCATTATTTAACAAGATAAGACAGATAAATACCAAAATGCAACACATGATTTTTTTATAAATTGCTACAAGTGATTATATTCCTGTGGAATCACAATGTCCCATCCTTGGTCAACTATTATTAGAACAGGCCCACGGGGTGCTCATGTGGTCCTTGTGGGCCAAACTCCCTGTAGGCACCATGTTGGTGAACCCCTGGTATTGGCTGATAACCTTTACAGACCATTTACAGATTCAAACAAAACTCAAACGTGGCAAACTATTTACAATATACAGTATAGGGTTACATCTGAAGTGAAAATGTGGTATTTTGGGAATTCCCTTAACTTTAAGATAGAATCATCAAGAATAGTATAAACTCTGTAAAATATTTATGCTTTTTATATCCAGCCTCTGCATTTTGCGTCACCTTTTAAAGTCAACCAGTGGGATAAATTGAGTTTGTACAGTTTTCCACCTGCATCTAATTTATTCCAATGCAACTATTCATATATTTTTCCTCCAAGAACTGCATTGCTAATTTTTTACTTTCAATGTGCTGAAAAAGAACTAACAAAATCATTGAAAAAAAAGGTGGAAATTTGAATTATTGACCTTATTACACGAATATTAACACAAAAGTACGTGATTTTTTTTTTCATGATCATCACTGTATTGATCATTGGCATCATAGTTCATTACATTGCCCTCACTGAAGATTGAATAGAATGTTTTGATAAACTGCAACGAAAAATATGAAAATATATATAATGAAATGATTTTCTGACAGGTCTAATGAAAATTGAGCATGATTCTATTTGGGGGTTGATAAGACGGCTATTGTATTGTCATGGCTACTAGATGGATGTATTCTTTGTGATCTAAATGAGTTGGGGCCAGTATTTGGTGTTGACACTTTGTGTCTTTCCTCTAGTAGTCATCTGTCTTTGTTCACCTGATACCAGACGCGTGGCAGCTATCAAAGAGACAATAGCTTCAACGCAATAGCCAACATTAGGATCGACAGCACATTTGACACCTGATTTATCTCAAGCACCAGCTGAGCTTTTTAGATGAGCTAACTCTGCAACAAAAGAGTCTTGCGTTAGGGGACAGGGTGGAGTCCACACTCTGGGGAGTTGAAAGGAGTTAAACTTGACATCTGGCCCGCGGTCCATCCAACAAGTTCTGGGCAGCTGCCCATAAAGGTCTGCTTTTCTCTTGAAGCACCTCCTCCATCTGCTGAATTTCTGCGCAAGCCCGAGGCCATCCCATCCGCAGACGTGTGCAGGTTGACACTGATCCTCCACTATGATGCCCATCCATATTTAAAAGGCGTGCGTGCAGGTGACCGATGGGTGGCTCTCTATGGCACATTCGGGCTCTCCCGAATCCACAGAATTTGTAGGATATTTCCTCAAATTACAGCAATATGAGATCAAGCACACGGAGCTAAAGGACTTGAATTCAGGAGGCACTCAGGTGACACGTGCCAGCGCCGCACAAGCTGCCATGTATGTCACCTGAGCTGGTGATGTACGTGTAAAGACGACAATGAGCTTCCCAATTAGTTCATGAATACAACAGGTGACACCTAAATAAAGCCCAATTACAAACATATTTGTGTTCGGTGTCTTCCAAGGCAGATGATGAGTTGTCACTCTGGATGAAAATTTAAACATGACTCTTGTGAGTGAATCAGCATGGCTACATCGACGTGGTTATAACTCGGCATAACATTCAAGGAGCGGGTTTTTAATGTCAGAAATGTACTCGGTTTTGCATTCCATATCATTGACATAAACTACTGCAGATAGAAATGCGCAATAAGCTTTTCTTGTTTGGTTTTGTATTGCTTCCACAAATCACACACGAGCAGTGAGTCAGCATCATTTAGTAACTTTATTGAAAAGGACAATACAATCTTGCTTGTGCCTTTCAAAACATCCAGAGTACTCTTGCAACTCACTCACGGCAATAGTAAGAGTGTTGCTCAAAACAATTGTTGCAATTGTTTCACCGTAAAGTACGAGTGAGCATTCTTTTGAAGGAGTACTATTACATCTGGCACTTGGTATACAGTCACCATTCCTGAATTACTTTTGCCTAAACCTTCAACACAACTGTGTTCGTTGAATCCCCTTGCACCCAATACAACCTTATTTCCAAACATGCTGGTTTAAAAACCTCAAACCGGCCAGTGAAGGCAAATATTAATGTAATATATGTCAGTTTACTGTACCTCCAACCTTTCAGGAAGGCACACTTTACACACTTGTTCAAGTAGAAGGGTGGTGTTCTAGAATCTGACCAAAAATGGTTCTACTGAGATGATGAACAGAGCATACAATGACTTCATACTTTGTCAGTTGTATGAGAGGGCATGTGGATGAATTCTTTGGAAGACCAGGGACACATTCAGACGCCCAAATCTCTGAATGTCAGTGGCATGTTGGTCAACCTAACTCATCAAATTGTATAACTGAGTTCTATGATCAAATAGGGTCATACGATCCTTTTGAAACCGCGTCGAAACTGTTCAACGAAGCAGGACAAGTGTGCAAGAAAATAATTCTCGCCACGAGTTGTGCATCGAATCTTTTGTAATGTTTGATGGAGTGGGCTGCAATCACCCACAACAATCCTCCACATCAATCAGACATGTTATGGCCACATGTCTTATACTGATTGCTAGGTTGAGAATAGTTGCACATTTTAGAGGAAACATTACCTCCAAGCATATTTAGTGTTTTGCATATTCAAAAAGCGGCACTGACTGGATGAAAAATATTATGCAAAGAGGCTGCTAAGACGAAGTATAATAATGAGAGTCACCCCCTTCCAGTGTTGAGCTAGAAAATGATTTGAAAATGCTCTTCATTTTAGATTTACGCGTTGCAGTCTGACATCTACCAAAGAACCAAATTATATGACAGCATAAAGCAAATGTAGCAATCAAGCTAAAAGGCAAAAGAATGACAGCCAAAATTAATTCATTTCAAGACAATCACTTTTCTTTCATGTGAACAAAATCCCCTTCAGGGTCCAAATGTCTTCAATGTTTAATGTATCTCATCCTTAGTATTCATATTTCATCATTTGAAGAGAGCAGATAGCTGCTGCGTGCCTTCACTTTGCAGGCACCTGGTGGGAAGAAACATAAAATACATGCTGTTGTCTACCACGCTGATAGGAATCTATAGATTTATTTGGCTTGTAGGATAATCTTGAGCTATAAAAATGTCTGAGGTGCAAAATAACTTGAATTCCTAAGAACGAATTTCATATCACAGTTTGCCACCGTGAAGTTTACATTGAATGAAAAACACATGGTGAATTTCCTACAATTTTTTTTTTTTTTACTGCACTGCACTTGTAAATCCACATCGGATGCATTTTTAAATATTTTAAAGCACAACAAAATCAAACAAGTCAACCAAACAAGGGATGTGACAACCATTGAATAAATAGAAACATTAAAACCCGTGGGTGAGGTCCATTTCAGCTTGCAAACTATGCATACACGCTTAAAGCAGTAACGAGTGTGTAACGAGAGGTCACACTAGAGCACATACAGTATTCGAAGGCAATCAGTAAGAAGGGGATTTTCCGCAATGGAAAACTGATTTTTATCTACATATTTAGCACAGCAGCCAGGCTAAAATGGCCCATTAGCTAAACCACATGGCTTTCCACCATTATACCACAATTGTGAATCAAAAAATAAAATTAAAAAAACGATAAACACAAACACCCCGATTATCTGTTCATTCAATAATTGAGTGAAAATACATGTAGCTCAATGAAATATTTTTCTTTGGAAATGGGCATGGGCCGATTACCAGTTTGACGGTTTACGATGGTTTTAAACAGTCAAGGGTTCAATTACCACAAAAATTGCCTGTCAACAAGCCTTTTTGGGGGGGGGGGGACCTGTAAGTAGCTATGATTGCTTGCTTGCAGACGCAAAGTTAATGACAAAACACCAGCCACTTCTTTTGTTTTCTTCTTTATGGCTGAGCAGGGAGGGGAGGGTTGAGCAGTTACAGGGAGAGGAAGGACTGAGGAAGACGGCAGAGCGGAACTGCGCTAACTCCAGCATCCAGAGGTCGTTTTGCTATGTCATTAATGTACACTGTTCTTGAAAAAAAAACAACCAAAAAAAACAATGATTATTAACGCCTTTTTTTTTTTTTTTTTTTTTTGAAGAGGACATCCTAAAGCTCTAATTATAATACCGCAACATTTTTGCTCATGGTTATCATACCGTGTCCCGTACCTATTAGGAATAACAAAATACGTAATTGAAAGGCAATTAAGGTTCAATAACATTGCTGATCTTTACATATGACACATTGTTGTATTTCAACTGAAATAAATTCACTGATAGAAGTGTTTGGGCTTTCTGTACAAAACCACATTTCATGGCAGCAGAAAACGATGCTGTTTGACACAAAAAAATTACGATGAACACTCGATCTCACCCGTGAATTTGGTATCATAAAGAGCAAAGTTGGAACACATACAACAGGAATGATATAATCAACAATTGGAGGTGATTAAGGTCAAATATAACTTTGGATCTAAGACTGCCACGCTGCCAAGACAACATATTTTAACACTGTGCGAAATGCAGCTGCTTTAATGATAAACGTAAACCTATATAGATGTGTGCATGGGCCTTTTTTTTTTAACATTCATTTTGTTCCCACTAGAAACAGCAATGTGATTCAACAGCTTTCTTGCAGTGAACTGAAAATTTGAATGACATTTGCTATCTAAAAAATTTGTAGGGAAGACATGATGATTGTGTGTATTGATTGTGTTTGGACAGACAAAGAAAAGTGCTGTGATATATATAGTGTCGTACAAGACATAAAAAAAGAATATTTAAACGAATTAGGATTATACATACAGTAGCTGTATAAATCCATAATACAAGATTTTTTTGTACCAGTGTAAAACACACACACACACACACACTTATGTTATTGGCAGGGTATTTGGATACAGGAGCAATCTGCCATAAAGTACCTTACAAATACATTAGTATTCAAATGAAACAGAGCTTTGTCAGCGTCAATCAAAACAGATGCCTCAGTTCTTTGTATTGAACGAGAAGGTCAGGAAATAATTTGCAAACAAAAACATTCGCCAGTTGAAAGGTGAGACAGATTTCAATTCCAGCATAACATAAAGCGACATTCTTAAATTAGGATTATTGCACTTCAAGTAAAAATATCATTTCCAGTGAAAAACTATTCACCAATACCCTTCAATTATTGTCTTCACAATTAAAACAAAAGCAAGCACGACCAAGGGGACTCAAATTTAGAATGTAGACTTTTGTTCATTTAAAACAATAGTAAGCAACAGATGAGAGCCGATCGGAGGACACAGCTCCGGAATTAACAGCCAGGCTAAACGTGGCAGTCTTTAAGAAGGGTGCGTAAGTGTAAACATAAGTGTTACGAATGGTTTAATCGCAATGACTTTTTAATAAACAGCATGTGCTTGCTTTTCCGAAGCGTCTCGTAAACATAAATTTGGCTTCTTTTTAACTTCAAGAGCTTGTCAGCACACGATTGAAGCTCAATGTGCAAACAGAGCTCTGTTGCCACATAAGTGCAAGCACTGACATTGAAACTGAGCTGCGTGTAATCACTGCATTTGATTTCAATGCACTGATGAGTTGATGTCATTTTCTTGAAGTACCTAATGCACAGTATTGGTCAATTTTAACAGTTGATGAATGAAAATATAGAGTTGTACTTAAAGGAAAAGTGAACTGTTTGCGTTCGATTAGAGCTCATATGGAAAAGTCAGAAACTTCTCCTTACCGCTTTATTTACCGCACGATACAGATGCACAAACTTCTGCCCCACTTGTCCGTTGGAGTTTTATTGTTGGTGCCTGTACTTTTTATTTTTTATTGAGTTTACCTGCCTTTTTCTTAGGCTCATAGGGTGTCCGCAGTATGCTTGGTGTTTCCTCCATGACACGTACCAGCAGGTCATCGATGTAGTCCTCCAGCTCCCTGATGTGGGCGTCTTTCTTTTTCACCACTTCTTTCTGCTTGATGAGTTCCTGCACCACTTCCTCAAAAGACACGTTTCTATATGCTGCCATATTCCCCTGCATCACTTCCTGGACATGGAAACACAACAGATAACATTTAAAAAAAAATTATTCTCAGCAAAATTCAATGTGTGTTATTGTTGGCTTAGTGTTGCTAATAAAGGCAAGTTGGTGGGTCACTGTCTCAAGTGGCCCCAATGCAAGCGGAGTGCACAATATATGTTTGAAAAGTTCGAGGACTCGTATCACAAAATGTTATATTTCAGGGTTTTTACTCTCAATGTAGGCCAGATGATGAACCAGCACGCCTACTAGGAGATCCGATAGTGTTTGCTTCATTCAGGGCATGAGAGGAGGTGAGAATTTTTTTTTTAACATCAAATGTGCATCCACATGATTTAAGTACGAATTTGTGCATACCCCCATTTTGTGAATGAGGCCCAACTGTTCCTGGCCGAGAAGAACATCACCATTCTTAAGCAACCTCCCTTCTCACCCAAACTGGCTCTGTGTTTAGTTCTTTTTTTCCCCCAAGCTGACCAAGGCAACTCGCTTTGTGAGGCGAACAACATCAAGATGGCTATGATGACTGCAGAGGATCACGGGAGACCCCTCCTCTGGATTTGGAAAACACCTTCTGAGACATCATTTGCCTTACACTTTCTGGCGGATGTAAAGACACTCCTTTCCACCCCGTCCTCACCCATATGAGAACTCTTATTAAGGCACAGCATCACCATGGGCCTGTTTAGGCAGCTTTTGTATGAGAACAGGAGCTGTAATCGTTTTTAATGAGGGAGTACTTTATCACTGTAATGCTGGGCATCCTCCCCCGGATGGATAGAACAGCAAAGGCTTGAATCTGTTTAAAATACCAGAGTTATCAACCTGCACGCCCCTTGCCTCAGTCATAAGACCACTGCAGAGTAAAGACAATGCATAACACCTCGGAATTGGACTGTTTGCCAGGTGTCTTATCGCTTCTTGAGCACAAAGGCTATTTAGGAGGAGGACACGGGCCAAAATGAAAATTCTCAAAGATTTTGACGACTGAAGATTAAAAATGCATCTAATTAAAAGACACAACCCTTGGGCTAAGAAAGAAGTAGCGAACTGATCGCTGTAAGGGAATGGATGTTGGGTTCAGCCGACGGTGTATTGCGCCTACACAGTCTCGTTCCCTCGCAATGAAATGAGCTTCAGTGGTGGTAAAGGTCTAAATTTGACCATGAACCGGCAAAGTAATGATGACCATTTCTCGACGATCAGTAGTTGAGGAGAAGATAAGGCGTACATTTTGCCATTCTCCAGTTGTGTCATTACCTTTTTCTAATGAGCTCAGCTTTGAGAATTTAAAAGCTTCATCCTTTGAAATGTACGTGTTATGTCCCCCCCTCCTCCCCACCCAACCCCACCCCATCCTGCATGCGGGTAATTAGGGCCTTGAAGAGGAGGAAATGGGAGCTGGCATTTCTGCAAGCCGGTGCAGCATGTGCAGGGGCACATGTGTGGATAATGACAGACCTCAACACTCGCACAGAAAGGTGACGAAAGCCATTATCAGCATCCCCTTTCTCATTTAGGCATCCCTGGAGCTATTGCTCTTCTACAGAGAGCACATTTGCTGAGCAGTAGATCACACGTTTCAAAGTTTCTGAAAACATAGATTCAGGAAGATACTTCCGCAGAAGTGTCATGTAAATATGAACAAGCCTACATATATCATATTTACGTGACTTTTCCCCAACTACAGCGTTCAAATACAACCCAAATAAAGTAACTAATCTCATGAATATTTCATGGTAAAGTACTTCATATTCAGAGCAGGCACGAAGATATGAATGTGCAGCTGCTAATTAGTTGAATAGCACATCTGAATTTTTAGAGGCCATGGGGATCAATGTCACCAGCTGCTGCGTCAAATGAGACTTGAGACTTGTTCTCCATTACAAAGTGTCAAAATCTTACAAGTCCATTCTTGCATTTCAGTTCAAGTAAATGATAACATGCAACAGAATTGCATGCGGAATCATGGTCTAAGTTGTGCTCGGTGTCTCACATTTTTCAAGGCGTAGGTCTCCCTGCTCCCTTGGCCTGAGGTGAGGTTTTCATTTCCAAGTAGCTTTTTGTCACTGTAAAGCATTCAAACAGAAGCACGGGTCAGGAAATTATGCATACAACTGTTAGGCGGCTCTGATTTTGGATTTACCGAGGGAAAAATAAGGTTTAAACACTTGAGAAAAGAAACACACGATTGTGTGTAAACATTAAACTCCAGTTTTAATGTTTGAAACACATTTCATTTTTAGGGAATGTCCCAATACGATCATGTTATCAGATATTTGGGCTGATCGCACGATTTTCAGCTGATCGGTGATCGTTTCAAAAAGATTGGTTTTCATAAGTTTCGGAAATAGTTCATAAAGTGACGACATAATTCAAAATTAGAATTATCTAGTCCAATCGAACAGTTTGATTTCATATTCCACAATGTTGTGCTTGTTTTGGTTTACGAGTTGGCGTAGTGATCAAATTTTTGTTTTAGATTCTGTTCCTCACAGTTGAAGAGTACCTTTGATACAAATGACAGACCTCTACCTGCTTTGTAATTGGGAAAACTTCAAAAATCAGCAGTGTATCAAATACTTGTTCTCCCCACTGAATACACACACACACACACACACACACACACACACACACACACACACACACACACACATACATACACGTACAAATGCATTTATGTGCATACATGTCGATGCACATTTCAATATTAATTTGAGATCAATTGGATGCATATTCTTTTGTTCCATGTATTGCCAAGACTCTACATCAGCAGATACTTCAAACCAAAGACTCGGAAGCCAAAAGAGTGCGATCAGGACATTTCTATTAATTATGTACATTAAACCGCCTCAATGTATTATTGCACTACATTAGGACTGACCAATGAGCTACTGGATGATAATGACTGCATTTAAGATGATGGACCTATAAAGATAAGTGGTTAATTGAGTGGTCTATCGCTTTAAAAAAATCTCATTATGATTGCTCAGAGGGCTCCGTTATCAAGCCAAAGCTCTCTAAAGAGCCTCTAATGACACCTTCCATTCTGATAAAGTAAAATGTAGTCTCAGTGTTCCTAAACTCTCAATGGAAGCCAGGAAAAGACATAACAGGTTCGATGGAAAAGAAAACACTTGACAACAGACTGAGACAACGAAGGGAGTCCATGAAAGAAGCGTTCTCATGCTAATGAGAATACTGTAAACATCCTGTAGCTTGGACGCAGTCAACCTAGGTTACGTCTCATGGTCATGGGAAAGCAAGATTTGGATTCAATGAAAAACATAGTAACGCATAGTTGTGCCAGTACATCACATTATCAAGCTTTATGTACCTTGCCTTGAAGTTGGAGCTGAAAGGGTTAGTGTGTACTTGTGAGTCACCACTAAAAGGGTTGGGGGAGCGCAGGTCTCCAGAACTGCCCAAACTGCCCGAACGACCGCCACTGCTGGTCTTGCGGCCGTCCTTCTTTCCAGTCATGCGTTCTAGCAGGCTGATCTTCTCCTTTTTCTCCTTGGGCTTGTCCCACAGCTGTCCTTGCTCCCCTTCGAATGGGTTGCGGTTGCGTGGGAGTGTGGCATACTTCTGTGGCAGGGTGTCACTGATATCAGGAAAAGGGTCACTGTGTGCCTCGTTGTCTTGGAGACCTGGTACCTCACTCTGGGAACGCCTGTGAGGAGCAGCTGTACCTGGACCCAAGAAGCAAAGTCACTGCATGATTCACCAATGTTTATATGCCTTTTGAGATTACAGACATAGACAAAATTGTTGCTACGCCTCTTTTAATGAAAGAAAAGCCCACATTGCTTACAGAAAAAAAAAGTTCATCTAACAAATGTAATAATAAAAAAATAATGAAAAGTAACTAAACAAATCAGTCAATGGTTTTAAATTCTGGTTCAATGAAATTATTTTGACAAACAAACTCGTGAAACAGGCCAAAATGATGGTTGCTCTAGAAAATACTGCAAATAATTTGACCATAGGGATATATTCAACCAAGGTGTGTCCTCTAATGAACATTACAAGTCTCTTCAAACTTATAACCAGTAAGTCAGCCTATTTAAAGGGTTCTGGGTCTTGTAATAGGAAAATGAGCCAAAACACAAATCTCAGAGCAAAACAGTGGACTATTCTGAAGCGGCCTTCTAGAAGCCCTGACATAAATCCATTTGAACAGCTGTGGAAGAAGATGAAACACACCACCTGGAGAAAGCACCTTTCAAACCTGAGACAAATGGAGCAGTTTGCTCATGAAAAGTGGGGCAAAATACCTGCTGAGAGTTACTGAATTCATTTTTTGTCCAGGCCTGTTTCATGAGTTGTTTTTTTTTTTTTTTTAATAAATTTGCTGTACCAAAATTCAAAAGCAATGTCCGGTTTGGGTTCATTTTATTTTCTTTATTTATTACTTTTGTGAGATTGAAGTTATTTCTGTGACTCATTAATGTAGGGGTTCCAACAAATGTATATGTGTCCCTTGATTGACTGAGCCAATGGGACTTTACTTTGTTTAATGGTATTTGTTCTTTTGTACAGGTTGTTCCCAATATTATTGTATTGGATTTATCTGTATCGTGAATTGGGCATAAAATTAAGTGCATGCATTTGAGAGTGACTTCTGTGACTCCAAACCCCTCTGAGGTAAAAGATTGGGGAAATCATATGTATTTTTTTTTATTCATTAAAAAAAACTAATATTATGGTACAGTTTGCTGTAGATTCTAGTGGCTCAGTCGTGTCAAATGGCATACACATATGACCGCATGTCATAAATGATGCCATTGAAAAATTGTAAGGTAGATAATTAAGATGCAAAATGTTTATTTGACCTTACAGCTCCCTTCGACAGCTAAACTTTAAATATATGACCAAAGATGTAGGCTACGCACCACTTTCTTCGATGGAATTCATGGAGTCCAGTTTGGGCCGAAAGTGGGTCCCAATGAGATCTGACATGGAGTGAGCTGCAGAAAGTTTCTGGGCCCCAGAGAGTAGCGATCTCTTAGCCTTGGGTTCGGTTCGCAATTCTGGGGCAGTTGGGTGATAATTAGGGTCTGAGTCGCATGCTGCAGATCGAGGTACGATGGCTGAAGAGGTGTCACTGTCATGTTTGCGACCCTTCATTTTCACCTTTAGTTTAGAAAAAGGCGAGCGGGGCTTCTCCTTCATGGAGAGGTCAAACATACTGGCTGTCATATTATTCCGCATGAACTGGATGCTGACTTGGATGCGTCCTCGCTCCTTATTCTTCTTTGATGGCTTGGATTGCAAGGTATACCAGCTAAAATGAAAAAGGAGAAAGCTTAGCATATTCAGTGGGGACATTTATATACTTATATACATACACACACTATATATATATATATATATATATATATATATACACACACACACACACACACACACACACACACACACACACACACACACATATATATATATATATATATTTTTTTTTTTAAACAACAACAATAAAAGGAGGACGATTTATCTCTGTTGATTATCTCTTTAAGCAGAACTTAAGAATATGATACAAGGCTAATTTGATCATACTAATCCAAAATGTTGACAGCAATTCAGAGGATCAAATCCTTTGATTTTGGTCGAATTTGTCATTCGAGACAAACATTATGTTTTTGTAAAACAGAATAGAAGAAATGGGATGTTCTTGAATAGGCGTATTTCAGGCTTCCTTTTGGGCTCCTATTCATTTAACCTCGCTGCGTTTTCAACTGGAAGTAATGGGATTTGTGCATTCAAAATAAATTGGCATTTGCACAAATCTGCCCTTTGTTCAGAACTGCAAAGACAAGCAAGTGGGACATTGAATCGCAGGGTGACCGGCCATTTCATGCATGCTAACCAGTCATATCCTCTGTGTTATGAGGACTGTGAAAAAGACAATTCAGTATACCTCTATTTATAAAACAAGTAAATCCATGACCTCTTGCCATCTATCAACAATGTGAAAGCACCTGAAGTCAAATGCAAAAAACTAGTCGAAAAATCAAATTGAAAATGTAACAAATAAATTGCTACTAAAAAAATTTATAACAACTTTTTTTTTTTTAAAATACAGTATTTAGTCTTTAATAAGATGGTAGAATCTGTCACTGCAAGCAATAGTGGAACTGGTATGAAAGAATGGCAGCTGTTGAGCGCTATTTTAAACCATCAAGCCCGTGGCCCGGTAGCCGAATCATGACGGGTCCATTTCCCAGGCTGCACGTCATGCTCAGTCAGATCAGCAGCCACAGCATGCCGCTGCTATGGGGCCGGCGCTGCAGCTCAAGTGTGTCTCAAGGCCAAGATAAACCTCCCTGCGCTTGGAACCACAATCCTCCTGCTTGGCCCCCGGACCGCTGGGAAACTCCTCACAATCAACAAACACAGGTGTGCGATAATTATGGGCTGCCTGCTCAGATATCGAGACAGTCTTTCCTCCCCAATATGTCAGTTCAAAAACATCACAAAAGGGGCCGCAGCAAATGCAGCGCGCAGACGGTGCAATGTGGTCATAGTGTCTAGGGTCCTGGTGTCATTGTCAGACTTGCCGGCAGGGTGGGAATAGTAACAAGGGCCAACAAGTAACAAGGGCCATATCCATTACCAACACTCAGCTGAAAAGGTCCACAGCCTTGAAGTGAATCAGCTCAGGCACAAAGGGGGGAAAAAAAAATATGTCCCACTTTCACACTGATTATAACATATTGCAATTCTCTAAACCGAAGGGCAGAAAGGAAGTGCTAATGTATTTCCATGTTGGTGAGCTAATTAACACCAGATCCAATTTAGTCGATCTGTTCCTGTTTCCTTAATTCGGGGTTAAGCAACAGCATGTGTGTTGTAAGGATCAAATCAACCTAATCTTTTACGTTACCCTGCAATTATTACATAGTTGTACTTAAGGCTTTTGGAGGAAAAAAAACAAAACATCAACAACCCATTTTTTACAGTCAACGCCAGCCTGTTCGTTAGTCCGTCTTTCATCAGTCAGTGGCAACGCAAATTTATCAGGTAAGAAAGCAAAAATGAACAAGACGAGGCAAACGGTGTGACTTCAAAAACAAACAATTTGGGATAGGCCTGTGTAGGTGTTTCAGATGATGGCACGGTCAACGGGTGGTTCGCAGATATGCCTCACAGTTCTAAGGTCTGCGGTCCCAATCTTATTGTATGAAGTTTGCATGTTCTATCTGTGCTTGCATGTATTTTTCCAGGCTTCCCCCCACATTACAAAAAAACATGCATTTTAGGTGTAAATGTGAGCATGGATGCTTGTTTTTCAAAATGTGCCCGGTGATTGACTGGCAACCAGTTCAAGGTGTACCTTGCGTCCTGGCCAAAGTCAGCCGGTATTGGCTCCAGCTCACCCATGACCCAAGTGAGGGTACTGTAAGTGGTAGAGAAAATGGATGGAGAGATGGGTGCCAAACACAGCATGTTGAGCCAGCTCCACTAGTTTTGAATGGGCCAATTAGTGGTACCCATGTTAGCAATCAGGCTAAAAAAAAAATTAAAAAAAAATCCAAAGGTGAGCCATTGCTAAGCACAATACTTAGCCTGCTGTAAATAGGGGCGAGCTTTCACTTGAAGCTGGTGTCTCGGGATGATTGGAAGAATTTAACAACAATGACTTGTAATGCTCTAGTTTTACTTGCACACAATACAACTGTGTCCCATTTGTGCCAGAAAAATAATAGAAGTCATAATTTGGTGATTCAGACGGAACTCTACAAACAGAGCTGCAAACAATTGAATTTCCGCTTTTCCCTTGTGCCTTCAAAGGCATGGAATAATTCTTCCCCATGAACTGACTAATCTCCTGTCCATCATAATCAAGTGTACCACCAATTTATTGGCAGGACAAAACACTTCCTGTCCAAACCTAATTCAGTCACTGCAAATTCTGCAAACATAGTCCACTTCCTATGTGTGCAGTGATCATAGAAACAAGAAAATAAAAAAAAAATACCCTTGATGTGGAGCAATAACATGTGTCAGGCTGAACACTATAGATGTAAGCAGCACCAAGATAAGATGTGCAGTGAGCTATACACTCATTCAAATTATTATAAGCAGCATTTAAAATGAATAATAAAGAAAATATGGATGTCAGTTCATCATAAGCACAATCCTGTATGTACAAAACTATTTTGTGCCAATGGTCAAGATGACCCATATGACTGGGCTAATGTGTAAACATGTTTCAGAAGTTCTTTCGATATCTTTTAACTTTAGTTGTATAGATTTTACATGCACATTAGGGTGGAGGATACATGCATACCTTACACTAAGAAAATAGTGCCGTCCAGATTTACAGTAGCATCACATCCCAGACTACTCTTTCGAATACTCACTCAGTTTTCTGCCGCTGCTTGTTGTCAAACACTTCGTTGAGGTTGATGGATCTCTGACCCAGGAACTTGTCCAGCCCAACCAAAGAGCGATGCATGACAATGAAGCATAGCTGATAGACTTCTGGGTTGCCATCCAAAAGTAACCCAGGTAGTTCAAAGGAAGCTTCTTCTCTCCAGACAGGGTTGAGCGTCTTCTCTGCCACTGATGTCGAGTACTTTTCCTTGCCCAGCTGGATGATAGTGTATGCATCATTGGTGCCATTTTTCCCCTTGGACTGTAATCCAGCAGCTTGAAGAACAGTGGCTTGGACATGAGTTGGAAACCACTTTTGAGACTGTTCGGCCAGTGACATTGTCTGGACTGCTTTTTCAACGGTTCTCTTACAGTGTTATGAAAACAAGTGGGTAATGTAAAAAAAGACATTTAACAAGGATGTGTTATTCGTGTTATTGTTGCGGCCCTGAAGTAATATCGAACTTGGTAAAGAGAGTAAGCCTCATTTCATAAAGCCACAATCCCAGATATCCAAGCCACTGCTGAGTCATCTGGAGGGGGAGGAAGGGAAAATAAAAACACCACATGAACACAGAAAAGAAAGAAGAAATACAAATGTTTAACAAGGGTATCACTTTAGCTAACGTGGAAATATAACACACGTTTGACTTTTTATATGTGTATACATACACAAACACATGTAGAGAACAGTAGATAGACAAGGTATCAAAAGTTTTCAGGACAAGTGTCACAAAATATATACTTCAAATCCAAACTACAAGCTATAACTTTTCTTCTTCAGTGAGGGCCAAACGGTCAACCTGCATGTCTCGATCCTGCTTCATTCAGTGCGTGACAGAGGCCAAAATTGTGGTAGGACTGCAACACCACAACAACACTATGTCATAAGTATCGAACTTTTCCTGGCCCGGAACATCATCACATTGCTGGAGCAACCTACCTTCCCACTTACTTAGGACCATCCGATTGTATGTTTGTGGGTGACGGAGAGGGAGGGGTGTGGGGGGATCAATTCACAAAACAAGTGCAATTGTGGTTTTGCAAAAACGAGTTATGCATATTATTTAAAAAAAATCTTATTAAGCTCATACTGACCCACTTTTATAAGTTTCAAAATAAATGTTATGATGTTAAAAGACTTATCTTATTATGATAGAAAGCAAAGGATGTTCAGAGCAAAAACAAACGTATTCCTTACCTCATGTAAATGTTATTAGTCTCAATATGATGTTTGTTAGATTATTGTAGATAAAGATGTGAAAGGAATTAAAAGGTAGATGTGTTTGTAGATTTGGAGTTGATTATTAGAATTGGGACATGGCAATACTGCCCAAAATTCATATCACATTATCAATGCACCCCCTAAATCAATATATAAAAATGAAGGTTTCAAATATTTTTAATTAATAATAATGTAATAACTGAATTTCTGAATAGGTTAATTATATACTCCATGTATGTTTTGTGACAAGTCCTGGATCGTCTTTGACAGACCTAGTTGTGTATTTTGTACTGGTACATATTAAATTATATTATAGTATATTTACATACACAGACAGACAAACACCCATACCTACAGGTACACATTCTGTGTGCGTGTAATATCATACACGTAAGCCAACAATTATTGCATCCCCATTATATAGTGAAACACATTTACTACATGTATGACGACATCCAGAGCTGCATCATTGGGTTAGTCCTCCCAGCAAACTGTGATGCAGCAGATTGGCAGTCATAGTACTGTTAAATACAGTTTAAATTCTTGAATTTGCAGAGATTTCGGTTCTCCAAAACTATTCAACCAATTAAGCCAAGCAAAAAAAAAAGTTTTATAATGATAATACAATGTGTACATGACATGAATCGGTGTAATTTTCTTTCCCTACATATATATTGTGACATTGTACACCATTATGTTTATCCTCACAATTAAAGGAAGTTGAGGTTTTAGCACTATCAATCAACATTAGCTAATATCGATCCTCAAACGGATTTTGCCATTGCTTGAATCAAACAGGCGACGTAGCATAAGCTGTAAGCGGCTAGCTGCCGTGCTAACAGCTCCATTGAGCTCTTTTATTGATTCTTACCTCGCAAGCATGCATAGCGATCTTTCAGTCCAACATATTCTGGCTTCATTAATACATAAATGCTATTGTTTTTAATCCACGACAGATGACTGCAAGATAATATTAGGTGGAATTGCAGTTGCTGCTCTTTGCTAACAACTGTCGAGCGGATGCAAGGGCCACTTCCTTGTCTGACGTCACTTCCCTCTCACGCCGCCAGAAATTGAGGAAGTATAGTACACTACTGTACTGTACAAGAAACCAGTCAGCTATTGCCACAAGCCCACGCCCACGAAAATTATATCTGGCATGCGAAAGCAAGGAAGCCGACGAAAATTAAGCCACGAGTAACCTATTATTTAGTACCTTGCGGTTTGAGCAATGAGTCTACATTATGTAACCAGGCTAGATTTACTGAACGTGAACCAGGCACCATTTCAGAGACGAAAATTAATTTGGAGGAACAAGATATTCCCTATCCTTCGCCACATTTAAGAGAATTATTTGATGTTGTTGCCTCCAACAATGATTTGTGGCATGTGAATTGCGTCTTGAGGCCACCTATCAACACCACGGGATCCTGTTCTGGTGTTTCATCTGAAAAAACACATACAAGTGTCATGTATTTTTTCAGTACTTTAGTTTTTTTTTTTTTTTTTTAAATCCTTATCTAATATAACATTTTTGGTTTGTTTGTTTTGCTCAGTACACACCATGAGGAAAGCTACGAGAACACTGGTTGATATGAAACTTGTTTGAGCTTTTAAAGGAGCTCCAATCCTAAAGTCTCTAAAAACAACTACTTTCAACATTGTGATTTTTATTTCATTATGTAGTCTAATAGAAGAGGAAAACTAATGCACCTAATTCAAACAATAACCAGTTGAAAATGGTACAAATATGATAACGTAATATACATTACGTAAATATTTTGAGGAAAAGAGGGGGAAGTTACACTGGAAAAAAACGGTGTACAGTATTGAATTTACTCTCTTTTTTTATTTTGTCAAGGGGTTGCACATAATAAAATCATCTGCCTGTAATTTAATTATTTAATTAGATTTCTGGATCCAATCAGGTTTTATTTGTGCAACCACTTGATGAAACAACATTGAGTACATTTAACGAAAACTTTTTTTCAGTGTCTGCTGAAAAAAAAAATAGTGAAATTTTTCACTCAGAAATTCGAAGGGAATTTTAGAATGGAGAGTTTTTGAGTAAATATTATTATTATATGGTTTATTTAAAAAAACACTCAGGGTTAGGTTTGAATAACTAATCCACAACTTTCAGGTTGGGAGACCGCCACTCTACCACCTGAGCTATGCCACTCCTACAGCATGTCAGAATATTACTGGTGTCTCCAAAATGAGACCTCAAAAACTTGGTCCCCGAATGGGGGTATGAATATTCCAACTGACACATACTAACGTACTGTCAATATGAAAGTTGTGGGTTTGTCCTTCTTACCCTTGAGTGACATTTTTCCCCCAATTAACGAATACTGTTTAAGCAAACTCTACAATAAAAATCTCCATGTAAAATCCGTTATTAGGTTTTTATAGTAAATATCAATTCGCATTACAGTACATAAAAAATTAACTACTTGTTGTCATTGCCAAGATATTTTTATTTTTGTTTTTGATGTGCCAATATGCACTCATATCAATAAAAATAAAAATACTTCAAAAAACTTCACCACCTTAACATAAACCTTCACGGTAGGAGCCAGGTCACCCATGGGCAAAAGTCTACTACACGGGTGTCAAAGTCAAGGCCCGGGGGCCAGCTCCGGCCCGCCACATCATTTTATGTGGCCCGCAAAAGCAATTCATGTGTCAACTTCTATGATCCTTGCTAGTCTGTACCGAAATGTCAAATTGTGATTGTGTAATAAATAACGTTGAAATTTTGCAATCACTTTGTTACCCTGTTTACACTCACTTGAACAAAAATCGAACAAACAAATAGCTGTTTTTAAGATGCGTCACAAGGACGCAGTGACAGGTTCAACAAAGGCTTAAGTGACAGCTGAAACTGTCAGCAAAGTAAGAGTTTTTCTCTTCACCAATAGAGACCATTGCCTGGAAAAAAGAAACTTTAAACCTAATTTAACAAACAGGTAGTTGACTTGAGTGATTACAAAACTAGTAATCCATCAATTTGGTGTGTACAAGTAATAATACAATGGGATGAATACGTAAACATTTATTCAGTTTCACTGTCGTAACGGCCGTCCGAGGGAAGACGTAACGCCGAAGTGGCCCGCGACAAAAATGAGTTTGACACCCCTTGTCTACTGCAACATAATCTGCTCTGCAAAATGGATAATGAGCTCCACTCGACGCGTCACCCACCCTGTCTGACACGCAAGTCTTAGTACACATGGACCTGGACAATGCAACTGAATGGTCCATTTGATCACTCTGTTGTTATTTGGATATCTGTCAATTCTAGAGCCAATACATAACACTTCATAAAAACAGATTACAGAGTTAAAAAAAAATAAATAAAAAAAACGTAAAAAAAATAATGAGACAATGTACCACTTCAGTTGTTCTCCAAGTTTTAATTTAGAAATGCAAGGCCAGGATACGTTCAATTGACATGTGTGGAAAACTATGCAAATAGACATTAACATGTCAGTAAAGTTTTTGCTCTAAATAGTGTTACATTTGAGGGAAACATTTCCCATTTTCAATAAAAGTTTGTGTTTTGTATTTTCAACAGTACACATTTGAATCACAATTACAAGAATGGCTTTAGCAAACGTTGGTACTCGTAAGTGAGTACTCAAATATAAGTACTTAAGTAAGTCATCAAAATGGGTGTTGTATATTATTGACAGTGAAATAAATGTTTACCTTGGCACTTGAGTGCATTTAGTAGTCTGTACACATTTACTTTTAATTAGGTACCAGGTGTTGAATCACTACTTTTACCAAAATAGATCTATTTTTAAAAGATGAAGTAAAAAGAGTATGAGTAATTTTGTCATCTCTGCAACCGTGAGTTCATGTGCACACATGAACGTGTGACACGCTGTGTGTACTTTACTCGAGAGCAAAATCATACAAACATCGTAAGTGCTTATGTCTCCTGAGTGGAACATGGAGGCACAGATAAGAGGTACCCTTGAATGAGCACAGATGTGATTGTCAGCCCACTTGACAAATGCATCTTAACCAAACACACCAGACTGTTGGTTTTATCGTGGTGCTGCTTCCACTACCATTGTATACACAACCACGCTGAGGCTGGCTTGGCCATCTATAAAATACTGTCCTATAGATTGTTTTTTTAATTGATTTATTCTTCTTATAGTTATAGTTTGAATGAAACGTAGCCAAATCAAATGCCAGTTTATTAAAGGTCACATCCTGCTGTGCTGTGAAAGTTTGGAAGTGTTTGCGAGGGCAACGGATGTTGATTTTTTTTTTGTCAGGGTTTGTTCCAGGTCGCAAACGTTCGCAAAGACGTTCAGTGGAATAGGGGATTTAAGTCACTGATGCTATGTCGAGCACGTCTCAAACTTCACATCATTTTATTGTAGCCAGTAAAGTGAGCCGCCTTCATGGTTCTTGCGAAATGGAATTGTTACAGAAAAACGGCAGACAACACTGACCAAAATTGCACTTTGACATAAGATAAGCTGATAATAAGTCAAACACTTACTTTTTACACTCCACAGGAACAAAATATCAGTGCCCCACTCCTTGGTGAGATCAAACATGAAAGGCATTGCATTCCCACATCACCTGTATCCTTTTATTACCTGCCCTTGCCAGAGAATAGATTGCTGCATTGGAAAGTAAAACATCAGTCTATAAATTAGGCATCGGTATGGTCTGACCTCACTCACAAGGTCGTAAACTCTCCAACATATAACTGAACCAGCTTGCAAAGTTTGGGTCCACATGCTCAACCATATTAGATGTCCATCGAGGGCTATCATCCTCTATTGTGCATGTGGTTGTGGTTCAAACCACATTATATAACACTCTTGGATTATTTTGTATTACATTTTTTTCAGGTAATATCGAGCCACCATAAAGTCCATCTGCTCGGGGAAGCTACTAAATTTATGCTCCGAATGTGAGGTTATGTACAAGTTCTGCAGGACCGACTGATTTAAAAGGTCTTCAGCTTTAAGTTCGGCGATCAGTTTAGATCCCTGAGTAAATTTCAATGAAAAAAGGAGAGAGGCACACAAATCACCCCAGCTTTTACTTTCAGGAATGTTTTGGTGGAAATTCATTGATATATGGATGCAGATGTGCGACTCCAATGTGAAGAGGAGAGCTAACACAGGCCACTAAGTCGGAGCCTGTTGACTCCCTAAAAGTCTTCATTTCCACCCCTTAACCTCAAAGAGAGCATGTTGTAAAGTCCAACTCGAACTGTCGTCCAATCCGATAAAAATACTGAAATGTCTCTCATTCTTATGCTTTATGCACAATGTATATAAGATTTATCCATAACTGCCGTTATAAAAAATAAAAAAAAACAATCAAGCCTAGCCAAGTGTTTAAGGCAGTGATTCCTAACCTGGGTTCGATCGAACTCTAGGGGTTCGGTGAATCGGTCTCAGGGGTTCGACGGAACCTCTGCCATGGAGGTTAAGACACACCTGACTCAAGATGTCAATTTTTCTGACAAGCCCGCTTGGCCATCACTAGCTGCAGATGATCACATTACAGTGCTTGTCCAATCAGTGCTGCGGGAAATTGAGTTCGCTTAGTCGTCAACGTGTGACTGTCGTGATAGTATGTCGTACAATTAAAATAAAAAGAAAAAAGTATACTTATCTCTTGAAATTTTATTTCCTTTTTTCAGTTTTTAATACATGCCTTTTTTTTATATCTTGAATTTGTAAAAAGTCATATTTTTGTTTTTCACGAATGAAGGGTGCGGTTAACTGGTTGGATTCGGTACCTCGAAGAAGGTTAAGAACCACTGGTTTAAGGATTGCCAAGGTGACGTTCGTCACTGTCGGATTATTGACCTTGCTTGCTGTTGGCACAAGAGAAATTTTCTAGACGCTTCTTTCATGGTTATAGTCGCTCGTTTCGATAGTTTTCTTGTTTAGTAAGTATTTTTGGATTTTTTTTTTAATTATTCTTAGATTGTTTAAGTTTCGTGTAATTGAATTTTTGCATTTGGTGTTATGTATTTTCGGGTATCAAAATTACCTTGCCGTTTGCAAGTGTTT